TTATCTCTTTGCTGCTGGGTTTTCTCTCCTTGATGTGTCTCAAAACCATTAGCCCTTCCCAGAGGGCAAACCTAGAATTGCTTACTGCCCTCTAAAGCTACCACCCTGATTCTTCCCTGCTATGTTGACCCTCCCCTTTGGCTCAATGTGGACAAGGCCGGACTTTCTCAAAAAGAACTTTTAATAGGAAACTCAGTGAAAAGAAAATAAATACAAAAGGATGGAAGTAAATATTCACTGAACATAGTTTATGATGTCATATTACTTACCCTGCCCTGATTTTCCCACTTAACTATAATTCTCCCCCACTCCAACCATTTGTATTTGTCTCCTCTATCCTTTTGTTGTTGTTCATTTGGGTTTGTTTGTTTTTTTTCAGTTATGACAGCCTCTTTGCAATCTCATTTAGGGTTTTCTTCTCAAAAATATTAGAGTGGTTTGCTGTTTTCTTCTGCAGCTCATTTTACAGATGAGGAAACTGAAGCAAACAGGGTGAAATGACTTGTGCAGGGTCACACAGCTAGTATCTGAGGTTGGATGGATTTGAAGTCAGGGCTTCCTGACTCCAGGGCCCAGAATTCTATTCACTGCACCACCTAGCTGCCAGTTTCTCCCCATTCCTCACAAATTACCTTGCTTTTACTTGACTTTTTTTTTTTAAAGGAAATTAACTGCAAATGGGAGGAAAAATAAGAGATAGCTTGAGAAGATGAGAAGACTCCTGAAGGATTTTTTAATCTTGGAGGGGCCTAGACAAGTTTGTGAGCCAATAGATATGAAAAGATTGAAAATTAGAAAGGGGAGATGGTTGCGGGCACAAACAGCCAGAAGAGGTATAAGAGGATAGGATCAGACACAAGCAGAAGGCTTAAACCTGGAGAAAAGAAATGCTACCTTTTCATTAGAAATTGGAGGAAAAGTACACAGCAGAGAACAAAAGAAAACCTAGGAGGAAGCACAGAAAAACTGGGTAGCTTTGAAAACAATATGCAGTATTTATTACATAGATTTTCTTGAAATGGAAATTTATTGTATTATATTGAGTCGTATGTTCTGCTGTATACATGGAAAGGTTTTTTCCACCTTGTTTTGTATTTAACAATATTTAAGTTTAAAGTGAATAAAAAATAGAAAAAAATAAACTGGAGGAAAGGAGAGGATGTGGGGTAATGTCAAAGAATTTTGAGGTATGGTGGGGAGAAAGAGGACTTATGACAAATGGCCTTTATTTTCTCAGCGAAGTATGAGGAAAAGTTCTCCAGTCAAAGAGTGAAGGAGAGATAGTAATGTAAAATTGAGGGAATAAGAGAAGGTTTGGAATAGCTCCTTTGGAGAGTGAAATAAAGAATTATATGAGGAAGAGCTTGAAGTGTATGGATGCTAGGCCTGGGTCATCTACAGTTGTCCTGATCTATATCTGGCCACTGGACCCAGATGGCTCTGGAGGAGAAAGTGAGGCTGGTGACTTTGCATAGCCCTCCCTATTGAGTTGCAAGTCATTCTATCACCTTCCTGACATTATAGTCCTCTTTGAGAACAAAGGACAAATCACAAGTGTATGAATGAAACAACATACACATATAAGTATAGGCAAATATATATCAAGTAAATGCAGTGTCTCCCCACCTCTCACAAATTACCTTGCACTCACTGGTGGAGAGGTGATGAGGGCTTGAACTAGGGTGATGGCTGTGAGTGAAAAGTATAAGAGAGCTGTGTAAGGGAAGGAAGTGACAAGATTTGGCAACTGACTGGCTGGCTATAGGAGTGAAGGAGAGAGGAGTCAAAGATGACGATGAAGTTTTGAATGTGGGTGCCTAGCAGGATATCGGTACCCTTGATAATATAGGACAATAGGGAAACTTGGAAGACAAGTAACTTTGAGGGGAAGATAGATAGATAGATAGATAGATAGGTAGATAGATAGATAGATAAATAAATGTGTGTGTGTATGTATATATGTGTGTGTGTGTGTGTGTGTGTGTGTGTGTGTGTATATATATATATTTTTTTTTAAGGCAATTGGGGTTGAGTGACTTGCCCAGGGTCACACAGCTAGTGTCAAGTGTTTGGTCTGAGGTCGGATTTGAACTTAGGTACTCCTGACTTCAGGGCTGGTGCTCTCTCCACTGCGCCACCTAGCTGCCCTGAGGGGAAGATATATTTTTAAAATATTTTTTCCAATTACATGTAAAAATTTTCACATTTGTTTAATTTTTTTTTCCAAATTCTCTCTCTTCTTCCTTTTCATCTCCCCTCATTAAGAAGGCAAGCAGTTTGATATAGGTTATATATATGCAATTATGCAAAACACATTTCAACATTAATCACATTGTAGAAGAAAACACAGACCAAAAATTAAAAAAAAAAACAAGAAAAATAAAGAAAGTTTTAAAAAAGTATGCTATGATCTGCATTCAGACTCTTAAATCAGTTCTTTCTCTGGAGGTGGATAGCATTTTTCAGCATGAGTCCTTTGGGATTGTCTTAAATCTTTGTATTGCTGAGAATAGCTAATTCATTCACAATTGATCATTGTACAATATTGCTGTTACTGTGTACAATGTTCTCCTAGTTCTGCTCACTTCACTTTGCATCAGTTTTTCTGAGAGCATCCTGCTTGTCATTTCTTATAGCACAATAGCATTCCATCACAATCATATAGTACTACTTGTTCAGCCATTTACCAATTGATGGGCATCCTCTCAATTTCCTATTCTTTACCACCACAAAAAGGGCTGCCATAAATATTTTGTATACATAGGTACCTAGGTCCTTTTTCTTTTTTTTTTTCTGATCCAGGAGAAGATAACCTTTTTTTCATATTAAACATATTCTCACATTAGTCATGTTGTAAAGAAGAATTAGCACCAATGGGAGGAACCACAAGAAAGAAGAAACAAAATAAAACAACAGCACCAGAAAAGTGAGCAAATAGTATGCTTTGATCTGCATTCAGACTCCATAGTTCTCTGGATGTGGACATCATCAGTCTTTTGGAATTGTCTTAGATCTTTGCACTGCAGAGAAGAGCCAAGTCTATGAAAGTCAGTCATCGCACAGTGTGGCTATTACTTTGTACAGTGTTCAGGGAGAAGATAATTTTATTGAGTTGTTGCAATCTCACTTTATTCTTTTCAAAACAAAAAGCTCTCCTTAGAATGTTGGCTGGAGCTACTAGGTAATCTATACTTTAAGGTTAGAATTTGGGTGGGGATGAAGTGGAATTTTCCAGCCCTGCTACTGTTTTCGGTAGTCAGAAGTTAGGTTTTAATTGGGTGTGAGGCCAAGCAAGTGAAGGTACAGAGTTGTGGATACTGGGGAAGTATGGATAGGAGTGGTTGTGTTGGAGAAAAGCCCTATGGCTGTTACAGGGACTTCAGTCCATCATCCCTACTTTTCGATTTGTTGATCATACACCCCTTGGGGGTGGGCCCTGAACCCTCCCCCCCACCTACCCTCAAGTGCTGTGACTACCCCTTTGGAGGTCCTTGGAGGTTTTCCCTTGCTTTGCCTGAGAAGTTGACTATAAGGATGTCCAGTGCGGGAAGAATAGTTTCCTTGTTAATATCAGTAAAATGAGGGAGGGGAAAGTTCAAGGTCTTTGATCTGGCCCTTTCCCTTTCCTGCCTACTCCTCACCTGCCCAAAGCAGTGGTAGAGAGCTGTAGCTCAGACTTTTGGGAGGAGCCAGCGTGGTGAGTTCTCATGTTTGGAACTATAAGTGACTTAACATTATTATTTCTCTCTCCTACAGATAAAGAAGCTGTGGTCCAAAGAGGTAAATGACTTGACTAGGCACGCACAAGGAATAATCATCATCACAAGCAGGATTTGAACCCAGATCCTGTTACTCTGAGGAAACACTCTTTCCTGTATACCATGCCATGGGGGTTGGGGGTGTGTGGTGTGGTGGAGATATTAAGACCAGAAGTAAAATTTAAGAAAGTAAAAAGAATTTCCCCAAAGTCTTGGCACAATTAATTGCCATTGTGATCATTTTATCTATAAGAGTAATGAAGATATATAAACTAACTTTGTTTTGTTTTGTTTCGCTAGGCAATGGTTTAAGTGACTTACCCAGGGTCACAACAGCTAGTGTCAAGTCTGAGGCTGGATTTAAACTCAGGTCCTCCTGACTCTAGGACTGTATCCACTGTGCCACCTAGCTGCCCCTATAAACTAACTTTGAATGACTGTATTGAGTGCTTTTTTCAGGCTTAAAAAACATGAAAAACAAAAGAAGTAATTTTTTTTATTTGTCAAATATCAGTTAACTAAGAAACAGCTTTTTAAAAATGTACCCACTTAATAAATTTATAAAAGAAAGAAGGTGGATTTAATTTTTTTCTAGCAACACAGGGTCTAATGAAAAAATAAAATAAAACATTGTAAAATGTTATTAAATGAGATATATTTGAAGTGCATAAGGTTTTTTCTTTTTACAAAATATACAGACATATTTATAAACATAAATATCATAGACAGAAACATTATTATTATTCAGATGCATTTGTAGTAAAGACCTACAATTCATCCAGAAATCTAGGATTTTTTGATAACCTAGTTTTTAAAGGAGAGTAGTTTCTTAAAATTCTTCAGTTTATGTTTTTGCTTTACTCTGCATTATTTGAAATCTTTGTACCCAGTAAAACAATTTGAACAATAGATGAAACGAAGAGTCAGGTATTCCAATGTGTTTCCATGAGGTTTTCAATGTAAAATCTACCTATGTCTGAATCCAAATTCTTTCATTTTTATAAAAAAGGATTTGAGATTCCTAGCACCTTTTTTGTTCTACCAAGGATCACAATCACCAGTTTAAGCATGCTGTTTTCAATATGGAAGTTGTTTATGAATTTCCTGAATTTTGTTTTTGAAGCTAACTTCTAGTCAAATAGTGAAAACCATTTAATCCCAATACAATACAAACAAATATTGTATAATTGAAGTCAATCTAACAAACCCAAAATTTCCAAAGATGGTGTATTTTCCCTTCACTCTCCCCCTTTTTTCTCCCTCTACTGAACCTCCTCAGTTCATTAGTAATTTTCTAGTCTCTTTCTTATGGTATTTATTTCATTGTAATTGGGTACTTGTTTTTGATCTTTCCCTATTAGATTTTACGTTCCTTGAAGACAGAAATTTTGTTTATTCATTTTTATATCGCCATCCTCCCCTTAGAGGGGAATCATTGTGCCTCTGAAATAATAGTGCTGAAAAAAAATGTGTTGAATTGATTAATTTCCGTGTTTTGCTAATATTGGTGCAACAACAGGTAAAGTACAAAGAGGAAAAACTTTTAAAAAATGAGATACAAATTAATCTACTTAAGAATTGACTAGTATAATTAAATTTTAAATTCTTAAATGGGCTACCTTGGAAACATGAAATCTTAAAGCTGGATGGCACTTTTAAGATAACATTGCATAAGAATTTATCTTTACAATTTAATTGTATCTGTCAAGCAGAAATCTACTAGGAGTCATGCTTCAGAAATTTAGATTTTTATTTCTCAGGATGTCTTGATGCTAAGACATTTCAGAAATGAACAACTTGAACCTTTAAAATAATCTGTCAATTGAGAATGATTTTATACTTTCCATTTATATATTACAATAGGCATTTGAAAATTTTAAGTGACCAATTTTAAGTGACTTAAATATTAACACTCATTTGTTTAAAATGGCAACTATTAGTTTCCTACTTATAAGTCTTGTCTGGATGCAACCACTGGATTCAGTGTTTTCTATTTTATTTCTACAGTCAGGTTGGTAAAATTCGACTGTCAGATACAGTTGTGTATTAGATTTTTTCTTCTGATCAAAGAAATATAGCTTAAGTAGTTTTTTAAACTTGAAAACTATAGTTAGTATTCCTGGAGTTAGAAACAATAGTTTAAAATTCTTCTAGCTTGTTTGGTTTAGATGCATTTATGGTAAGGATGTATAAATTCACACAGAAATCTAGGATTTTCCACTCTAATAATACCACTATAATTTATGAAAAGTTTTTTTCTTTCAAAACTATAAACATCCTGATTTGCAGAAAAATAAATTGACCAGCTTGGTATGATGGCAGATCAGTAAGAGTAAATTTTCTGGATTCCTGCTTTTTTCTCTGGAAGTGAAACCAGATACTTCAGATTTCCTTGATGCTCACAAATAATCAGTTGTCCTTGGGTGATTTCAGATGATTCTTTCAGTTGGAGGACTCCTACACAGATCACAATGTTGTAATAATGAGGTTTTCTTGAGTAGGACTCTTTGCTTCATTCTTTCTTCCTTCCTCATTTCCTGCCAATCCAGGTTTACTAAGAAATGGTTTTTACCTTTGGGACAAAAGGAAGAGAAACACTAAATAGATGTAATATCTAGTCAGCCAGTTTCCATATATCCTTCAAAAAATAAATCTTAAGCTGTAAAAACAGAATTGGGTTTCAAGGAGTTTTTTGGAGGCACTTTATGGCAGCCATTTTAGTGATATTAACTGAAAGAGTTCTTAGAATGGTGGTTTCCAACCTATTGGCTGAAGAATCCTGGAGGTAATGAATGGGTAACAGTTATTACAAAGAATCTGTGAGTCCATCTACATGGTAACCCTTGTCATTTTGATCTTTTCCTTCCCAAGGCACATAAATGGATTACTTTTTTTTTCCCCTCCCAAATCTCTATTGATAATTCTGGATAAAAATCATTTAAAAGAATTGCTCAATTTATAATAGCTTTCTGTTATGTGTTACGTGTTTCCTCATTCAAGAGATACAACTACTGTATCATATGTGAGGATCTTGGGGATTTTTTATGTTAAAGATCCTCATTTTTTTTTTTTTTTTGCTTTTAGGCAATTGGTCTTGCCCAGGGTCACACAGCTAGTAAGTGTCAAGTGTTTGGTCTGAGGCTGAATTTGAACTCAGGTCCTCCTGACTTCAGGGCCAGTGCTCTATCCACTCCGCCACCTAGCTGCCCCTAAAAAAAAAAGATCCTCATAATAAAAATGGTTGGGAGCGACTTCCAAAGATATCATCTCATCCATTTTACAGCTGAGATACAGGTGAGAGCAGAGATGTTAAATGTCATATAGTCACATAGCCAGTTAACCACATAGCCTGAAAATAGAAACAGTGTTAGCCCTCAAACGCAGGTCTCTCTTCTATGGTACTATAAACATAACAGGGTAGGTAGGTGGCGCAGTGAATAGAGCTCTGGTCTTGGGAGTCAGGAGGACTTGAGTTCAAATCCAGTCTCAGAAACAAGACACTTAATAGCTGTGTGACCCTGGGCAAGTCTCTTAACTCCATTGCCTCACCAAAAATCAGAAAGAAAACAAAAAACAATGTACTTTTCTCCATAAGAATACACACTGAATAGCAATTTTGAAGAGGTCTCAGATGCAGTTCTAGGGTTTTTTTGTTTTCATATTGACTACATTAGTAATTGTGATTATTTTTGGTGATATGTTGAATCAATAGACTGTGAAAAACAGATTTAAGAATAAACAGATTAACTATTTGCCTGAAGCTAAGTTGTTTCTTTCTGTTACATTTTTCTACCCTTACTGCATACCAAAATGTTGCATACCAAAGATTGTTTTCCTTTTAATTAGAGGACCAGATTACTAAAGTTTGTTTGAGCAACCTCAATTAGTATCTGGGTCCCTTATTGTTCTACTTTTACTAATGAGGGGGAGTATTTTCAGTGAAAGCAAATATCCTTGTAATGCAGTCTTCTGTTTGTTTATCATGTTTGATTTCAATTAGGCAAACAGATAACCACTGACTGGGCCTCCCTTCTGTCTATCTCCATTAAGTGGGTGAAGCCTTCCAAAGAGTGGTGAGCAGGCCACTCACTGAAGCTCTGCTAGGAATGAATATTTTAACAATCAGATTCAAAATGTATTCTAGCAGCTGAGAATAACTGTCTAGTTTTCAGTTGAGAGGAAAATAATCTTTTATGGGATAGGGATCGCTGGTACCAAGAACAGAAACAACCAAACAACAAACATTAAAAAGTTACTGTGTGCCAAGTACCATTTTAAATACAAGATAGTCCTGAAATAGTCTTTGCCCCAAGGGAGCATCTGAGAAAAAGTATGCGCCCAAATTATTGTTTGTCCTTCATTTCAAAGAGGGCCAGTGACATCATGGTGTGATGTTTTGACTTGCAAGTGAATTGAATTTGTGAGGTAGAGTTGCACTAAGTTGTCAGCCTCACTTTCTCTTCCAGTCATGGAAGTCCAGTGGCCAGACAAAAGTCAGGATGACTAGAGATGGTGAGGAATGCAGTGGATGACCTTGAAGTCTGTGATGTCTCACCAAGCTCTAAGCTCTCCCTAGCGCCTTCTTCATCCTTTATTGCCATTGGAACAAATTGTTCTCATCTTCCCATTCCACAAGTCTTCACATGTTTGGGGTAGACATCCCTCTAACTCACCAATGGGTTGAGTCCTATTGGTTACCCTCAACTTGGTTTAGCCCATCTGCCAGAAGGTTTTACTAGGTTGTGGCTGCTGCACATGCTACAGCTTCTTGGAGCCACAGGTGAAAATTGAGTGTCAGGTGGATGCCAAAGGTGGATGAGCAGCACTGAAAAAGGCAAGAAGCCCTCACATCAGAGGGACTATCCAAACACCTCATATGCCTCAAAGAAATCAGTACAAAATATACGTAAAATAATGGGGAAAGGGAATCAGGAAAGACCTGATGTAGCACAGCATTCAGCTGAGCTCTTTGAAGGATGCTAGTTAGGCTTCTAAGAAGCAGATGTGAGGAGGGTGGGCATTCTAGGCATTGGGGGCAAGAGAAAAGGAACCCAGACTAGAAATGGATTCTCCAGGTGAGTAGCAGCCAATTGGCCAAATTGGATAGAACACAGAATGCAGAGTCTGGTAGAGTGGAGTAATGTGGGAAAAATACTGGAAGAATAGGCTGGAGCTAGATGGTGAAGGGCCTTAAATGCCAGAGAAGTTTGTATTTCATCAATGTAGTAGAGTGGAAAGATCTATGGATTTGGAGTTGAATACTTGGATTTGAATCCCAGCTCTGCTACTCACTACCTGTGTGAACTTAAATTCTCATGGAATCAGTTTTCTCATCTTTAAAATGGAGGGGGTTGGACTTGATGAGCTCTAAGGTCCTAGAGGCAATAGGGAGCCACTGGAGTTTTCAGAGCAGAGAGTGACATGGATGACAGCCTTGGAAGAAGTTTGTCTTGTTTCACTCTTCCATAAACACTCCTCCCAATCCCTATCATTGTCCTTCACCACCTCCCTGGCTCCTCTCCTATGTCACAAAGCCCGTTTTCCATCCCAGTTAGAGTGCTACTAGATTGTTAACCAAGTACTAAAGTCAAAGCTTAGCCTTGCCTCCTGCCCCAACCCCTATTAGTTCAACCCAGCAATTAAGCATCCACACCTGGACAGCCAGAGTGCTGCAATGGTAGGTAAGGTCTGGATGTCTGCAGAAAATAAGGGGAGGTTTCCAGCTCTTGACCTGCTGAGGCGATTTTATGGGATGACGTGGATAAGAGTTGCACAAGATAAGCAGGAATGAATAAGTTGTTATTTCCATTGTTGGATAGAAGAGCCAATAGAAACCAATAAGTAAGTATAAACTTCCCCATCCCTATAATGAGGAGCTTACATTCTACTGGAGAGTGAGAAGTAGTACAACCTCAGCCCACATAAAGCATCTTCAGGAGGCTGAGAGCCTTAAAGTAAGAGTCTGAGCCTGGAAATCAGAAGTGAGGAGGGTATGCATGCCCAGGAATTGAGGCTAGTTTGTGCAAAAAAAAGGCAGGAGTTGGAATGAGTGTATTTGGAGTTTCAGGGACTATGCTGTTAGGCTACCTTGGCAGGAACACAGAATGTGTGGAATAAATTCATCTGAAGAGTGATGTGCTGGCAATATTGTGGAGGCTTTGAATGTCAGGTCGAAGATTTTGTTTTTTCCCATAGAGAATGAAGATGTCTGAGTGGTCTTCTTCAAGAATTAAGGGTGAATAATAACCATGGGACCCCTTATTCAGCAGGAACTTGCTTAGGACTGGACATTTGATGATGATGATAATAACGATAACTAACATTTATATAGTGCTTACTATGTGCCAGGCACTGTGCATTTATTAAATACCTAGGAAAGGGAATGTGAAATTAAAATACTACATGGTTCTAGATGTCACAGCTCCTTCACTATAGTTTATATATGCACATCATTGATTAATACAAATGAAACATGATGCACAATAAATAAGTACATCAATCACAGAGGTACAAATAAAGAGTTGTGAAGTTTGGATGGGGGAGAGGATACAGGAGAGTGGAGAGAGAAGTTAGTGACTGGAGGTATCTGAGAAGACTTCATGAAGAAAGTAGCATTTGCACTAGGCACTGTGCTAAGTGCTAAGGATACAAACAAAGGCAAACATTCCTCCTTCTCCAGGAATTCACATTCCAACATACAAGATGTGTGTGTGTGTGTGTGTGTATACATACATATAACATGTTTCATATATTACATATATGTATGTATATATATGTATATTTGATAAATTGGGGTTAATCTCAGAGGGAAGGCAATGTGTGAATTTAAGAGCTGAAGTGATTCTTCAGAATAAAGGGAACACATAGAAGTGGGTAAAGTTTCTTATGTGCTGAAGGTGAGACTGGAGCTGAGACAATAGGGAAACCAGGAGGAGGTGGAAATGAGGACTGAGCATTATAAACATAAGGCACAGCTGGTGAAAATGGCTAGTGTCTTGTGTTATGAAAAGCCAGGGAGACCAGTGGACTCCAATGAATGTTTAAAAATTCATTAATTGAAGAGGAAGAGAAGTAAAGAAGTGGGTAGAGAATTATGCAGTTGGTAAGTACCAAAGGTCCCTAATAATGAGATAAAGCTGGAAAGATCTTGTCTCTGTAGGCAATTGAAAGGTTGAAAAAAACAAGATTTATGCATAAGGAAGATGAGTCTGGCTAGAAGCTGAATGGGAAGGAATGGAGAATGGAGGCAAGAAAAACAGCTGACAATCCTGTTCCTTGCTGGGAAGATTGTAGAAGCTTAATGACCTCAAAGATCCTACAAACTTTTAGGTTCTACAGTCTTTGGAATAGTAGAGCACTAGAATAGGAGGGAGTAAAAAGTAATGGATTCTGGTTCTAGAATAGCTTCAACAATTAATAGCTGTCTGACTATTGGCACCTCTCTGACCCTCAGCTTCCTCTTCTTGGAAATGAAGATAATGCTTACTCTGCCTTTCTCACAGGATTGTTGTGAGGATCAAAAGGGATAGTGAATGTAAAAATGTTTTTGAAATCTTTGAAGCACTGTCCTAT